GAGTTCAAGAGTTCTATTACAGAGTGTTTTGACTGCGGAAATTAGGAAGAGACAGTTCAGAAGGCTAGGTTGTACTAATTACCTGAGATAAGTGTGGTTACTCAATGCCTGGAAGAAATGGCTGAGACACCTTGGTCTTCCTTTTTATTCTTTCTGAGTTGTGGGGAACTTCAAAGAGCACAGCCATCTCTTGGTGAGACTTATCCAGAGAGTGTTTTAGAATTTAGAATGACTCTTGTAGTCAGGATCCCATTCTTTCTTGTGTTTTTTTTGCCCTGGTTTTATCCAAATTTGGAGGACCTCTATAGATCCAGGGCTTCTATGACCTGAATACACATGGAAAGGAATCTAGAAGTTCTAGACATATGTCATTCTTCCTCGTTTCCTGCTCTTCCTTAGGTCCCTCTTTAATGCCTGCAGTGAACAAACCCAAAACACTGGCGTCTTAATGAGAATTCTGCAAGTCAAAAGGGACCATTGAGTCGCTTCTTGATCATAAACTACTGTCTCGCGTTCTGTTCCAGAGAGGTACAGGGATGGATGCCCTCTCCCAGGCCAGCACTTGCCCATTTCCCAAAAGTTCTCTCTGCAGGCCAGTTTGCCTTTTGCTCAGCTAGTGCCAAGGTTTGATGATTAATCCAGTGCTCAGGTGAGGAGAGCATCTACGTGGAGGAGTGGGCCCAGGCCCAAGTTTCAGTGGTGCTGAGAGTGAGAGTCTAGAATGAGAAAGAAACACTTCCCCTGAAGTGAGTTTCCTGACTTGTTCTTGCCTTTATGGCTGAATCATTCATAGGGTCCTTACTTAGCTCCCTGCTTTTTTGGTCCAAACCTTCTAGCAGTGGGGGTGCCTGGATGCCAGCTTTGGTGTAGGCTCATAGCAGTTCTATATCATAAAGTAGAATATGAGAACCAAAGGGATCCTGAAAGTTACCGTCTACATTGCCTACATCTCCTGACTCTGTTTATGGTCTTTCCTTCGTTTCCACTCAGCTTCACAGGGACAGGGGTGGGGAGTTAGGCCAAAGGAAGCTCCTTAGTCTCTCAAGAGTGTTTTGATGCCTCATCTCATTCCCTGCATTCCCCCAGCCCAGTCATCTGAGGCCAGAGCTATTTTCTCTGCTCAGACAGAATTGACAGGATAAGTCCTGGCATTCAGACAGGGAAGTGACCAGATACCCTGGCCCAGAAGTTCTCTGTCGGCTCCCCCTGCAGGCTCCAACTCAGGTACTGAATGTAAGTTATTCTCTGTTCCTCTTATTGTGGGCTTTGTCCTTAGTCTTAAGTTCCAAGGAGGAGTTCTCCTGTGCTGTTTTATTTTGCCGACTTGTTCAAGCAAAACTAGCTCAGATCTGTTGTGAGAGCTTATCAGGAGTTGGGCGATAAGTTTGGGTTTGTATGTACGAGCTGTCACGTATCTTTTGGTAATATTTTCTGGCAGTAGAGTTTCTTCCTTGTGGCTCCTCTTGTTCTATGTGTGCTGCCTAAAAAAAAAAATCTCAACTGTAAACTTTGCAATGAGCTGATATGTGGAATGGGAGAAGGAGAAAAAGAATGGGATTTCTACTTTATTCTTAGGCTCAGATTTAGTTTCTGTCTTTTCTGAGCATTTGCTCTTTTACTTGTAAAGTAAAAGTCAGAGAAGATTGGAAGTCCGTTGGCTAGCTTTAGTTTCCATGCCTGTCCCTGGCTTTCCCTTAGCCGCTCTGCATGTGCACACAAGACAGGAGATAGGTCCAGAGAGACCTGAGAGAGGCTTTGGCCAGGGTTGGTTTGTTTGGACTGCAGGGCAGCTGTAAGGCAGTGTCCTTCCTATCTGTTCTTCCTCTGACTAAAGGCCCGAAAATGTGTTAGCAGCTAGATCTGGGACTGGCTCTTCCTGTGGGAATAGGAACTGCGCTGCCCTGCCCTGCCTTGCCCCGCCCCACCCTGCCCTGCATGTTTCCAAGTCTGACAGCAGGGGGCATGGGTGCTTCTGTACCAAAGGATCTGCCTAAACCTGAAGGCCTGCCTACCAGAGTTCATTTCTCCTGTTCAGTAAGCGTACCCGGAGAGTGGGTGAGGCAGAGGCTGTGGAGGCTCCGGAAAGCTGCCTTATTGCTCCTGCTCTGCCCTGTAGCTGAGCTTCAGCTCACAGGGCGGGAGCAGGGTGCCCTCTCTTGGCATGTGCAGGTGACATGAACCTCCATCACCCCTTCTTCTCACTGGTGCCTTTCTCCAGTTCTGGTGAACAATGCCAAGTGAATGGCATTGTTCTCTGGCTTTACGGGGGCTCAGTGGCAGCTACTGCTTTCTTCATTTTTTAAAAGTTTTGGCCACTGGGCGAAAGTCACTGAGATGGTTTTTTCCAGCCTCTGGCAAGTTGGAGCTTTGGAATCTGGAGTGAATAACAAGGTCATCTGGACCTCATTGCCTTCTTGAGAAGCCAGCAATAAGCTTTGCCACCCTAGGACTAGGTCTGGGGACGAAGCCACCCCTGGCCTAAGAAGTGATAGATGGGCCTGGTATTATATCCATGCTGTGTGTGGTATGTCCTCTACCCCCAGAGCCCTTTGGCCTAGATTGAGGACTTGTGAGCAGCTGCCTCAGTCCTGATGGAGTACAGTTGTTTGGCTCAAGGTGAGTACAGGTTTTTAAGCCCTGCTCCACATACCCCCTGAACCTGTGCCTCTCTTTCTTCCTGACCAGGTAAACTGTCTTGAGCCCCACCCTCACCTGCCAGTGCTGGCAACAAGTGGCCTAGACCATGACGTGAAGATCTGGGCACCCACGGCTGAAGCTTCCACTGAGCTGACAGGGTTAAAGGAAGTAAGTGGCTATCCTTTCTTTTCTGCATACCCACACACTGTTAGGTTTCTTTGTTGTTGCGGGAAGGAGTAAACTGCTCCCAGTTGTTGGAAGGCCCTGCTCCGACACCCTCCTCCACAGTCCTGCTCCAGGAGCAGCTCTGGAGTGCCTCTTGTTCATAGTAGGATGGGGGTGGGGAACATCTGCAGGAAGAATTAGTCCATTCAAAGCCTCTCCCTTTCTCAGTGGCTGAACCTGGTGCATCCTTTCCTAATCCAGTACAGCTCTATTTGGCTTCTTGGATCCCAGGGAAAGCTTTTATTTGGTTAGTTTTGTTGGGCTAGAACTCTTAATCAGGTCCAGAGTTCCTGTTCATGCTGCTCCTGCCCCGAACCCTTCTGTGTTCCAGGTAATTAAGAAGAACAAGCGGGAGCGGGATGAGGACAGTTTGCATCAGACTGACTTGTTTGACAGCCACATGCTCTGGTTCCTCATGCACCACCTGAGACAGAGACGCCATCACCGGGTAAGATGAGCTTGGAAGCAAGCTCCTGAGGGCAGTGGCCTTCCCAGAGGGCTAAGAAGGCCCACTGCACAGCTCTGCACTACTTTAAGGAGGATTCAGGTGGCCTTTGTTGGGGTTTTCTGTCCATTGTCCCACTGACATAGCTTTGGAGGAGCCCCCAGCAGAAAGGGGTGGTGTCTGCTCTAGTTCGGCACTGTTGTAGACATAGCCCGATCTTCAGAGCGGCAGAGGCAGGGCAGTGGGGAAGGAGCTGAAAAGAAGTAGTCAAGTCTCAGGTTGACCCTTCTATTTTTCCTCTCTCATCAGCAGAGGCTTAGGGTGGGGGTCAGCAAACCAGCAGTTGACCAGCTGCTGTTTTTGCAATGACGTATTACTGGAATGCGGTCTGAGGTGCGGTCATGCTGTTGTGGCAGATTGAATTATTCAGACAGAGACCATATGACCTGCAAGTCCAGAATATTTACTGTCTAGTCCTTTAAGAGAGATTTTCCTGGCTGAGAATATCTGAATTCTAGCTAAGACCTAACAGGCTTGCTCTTATCCCATCTAGGGAAGTTACTAACAAGCCTTTCCCATCCCACAGCGCTGGCGAGAACCTGGGGTTGGGGCCACAGATGCGGACTCTGACGAGTCTCCCAGTTCCTCAGACACATCGGACGAGGAGGAGGGCCCTGACCGGGTGCAGTGCATGCCATCCTGAGGCCTCGGACCTAGAGGGGCGGGTTGGGGCTGCCATCCCGATCCTGCCTGGGCAGCCTTTCCTGTCCAAGGCCCTTACATCAGCAGAAACGCACTTTGGACTTTTTGCTTTAGATAAAAGAGAGACATCCCAGGAGGACAACCAGCAGAGAGAACCTAGGAGTAGCAGCTGAGCCCTGCAGTGGGTTCCATGGACAGGCGTACAGGACTCAGCAAGAGTGGCGTCTCCCTGAAGCCTTTTTGGGGGGAGGGGGACCCTATTTTGTTAACTGGTTTGGGGGTAGGAAATGGGGTTTCTTTTTCTTTGATTTCCCTTGTTTCTTGAGCTGGGGGGGTGGGGGGAACAACTGGCTATCAGAACCAAGGGTCCAGAGTGGGGGTAGGAGTGCTACTCTCTCTTTGGTTTAGGTTTTTGACCTTCTTTTCCTTTGTTTAAAAAGCCTATGACAGTTTCATTGCCTTCCACCCCCAGCAACCCCATTCTAGGATCCTATTTTTCTGGGAAGTCCTTTGAGCCCCTGACCATACCACACTCCACTTCCTTTCCACCTCATTCATTCTCTGTACCTATCACAGTTTTTGCACTTGATTATGTATCTTTACTCTCTTCTCTTCATCCCATCACCCCCAAGTAGGTCTGGTGAGGGAGGCTGGGAAGAGGCAGGAGGAGGGAGGGGCAGAGGTGAAGGAAGCATTGGAAGGATGTTACCTCTTCTGTTATTTTTTTTAAAAAAAAGTTGTTTGGTGGCAGCAATCTCCCTGTCCCTATCACTGTTAGAGGCCTAATTTTATATCTATAAATATATTAAAAAGCAAGTCAAACTTGGATGTATCAAGTTAAAATTATTGTCAAAGTTTAAATACCTATATATTCTCTATGAATGCAATAAAGGGACTTAAAGGAAGATCGACCAAGAGTAATGATGTGGAGGTGACACCTGGAGTCAGCGTAACCCCTGTGTGGTCACTAGAGAAGGCTTACCTCTTAGGTCTCAGAGAGTGCAAAGATCCTCAGTTCCACATTCCCCACTATCCTGCCTCAGTGTGGGGGTTGGAAAAAAAACAGGAAAATAGTCTCAAATCCACCTCAGATCTCCTACCTCTTCTTAAGTCTTGTGGGGGTCCCCAGGGTGGCTCTTACTTTTTTTTTTTTTGAGAGAGAGAGATTTTTGCTATAGGGCGCATGCACTCGCCAGAGACAGAAGTGGGAAATCACCCCCCCAGAGGGGATAGCCATACCACAATTCCTTCTCCTCCATTCTCTTCTTAGGATCTTGGGCATGAGATTTAAGCCACCGGGTCTGGGACTCAAGCCATGGTCTACTACGTGGGAGTCCAGCAACATAACCATTTTGCCATCTGCTGGTCCCCAGGGTGGCTCTTCTAACCAGAGAAACTTGACTTAACCATGACTTTAGGAAGGGTGCATCACTGCACTCTATTGGTACTGTGTGTAACAGAAGACACACACACACACTCTCTCTCTCTCTCCTGCCTTTAGCTGATTGGTTCTCTAGGCCCTCCAACTCTAAACAATTCCCTCCCTGATGGACGAGTGAAGGGAAAGACTCAATTGAAGGACTGACTCTGGTGCCTGGGGCTTGGACACTTGTCACTGGCTACTGAGTATGAAAGTCCCAGTTGAATTCTTGCCTTTAAATGCTTTTGCTGCTATGTCTTTGCCCCCAACTTCTTCCACAAGATCCAATAAAGAATTTGTATCCTGAGGCAGATAGGTTCTACTAAAACAGGCCAGGAAGGAGGTGGCAGAGTGAGGGGATGGAATTCCCACTCCTTTTTCCTGCCCCTTTCCTCAGCCTGTACGCCAAACCAGGTAAACCAGGTGTAAGCTCCTACACTTCTTCTCTGAGGTAGGGATGTGTGGTGGCCCTGGGGTCTGTGTTCCTCTTGCTAGTGGGGGGTGAGCAGGCTGAAAACCATGCACTCTGGGATTTGTTGTATTTTCTCTCAGTAAAGCTCCCCCGCCCCGCCCCGCCCCCGCTATTCTGTGTGGTATTATGGTCCATTCTTTTTTCTTTTTTAAGATTTTTTGACATACGGCACATGTGCTCATAAGAGAGAGATACAAGACAGGAAAAGTGAGAAATCACCCCCTGGGGATGGTGGCCATTCTGTAGTCCTTTCTCCATCCTCCTCTCAGGACTTTGGGCATGTGTGCACACATGCCTGGTATGTTTTTTTTTTCTTTCTTTCTTTTGTTTTTTTTTTTAGATTTTTGCTATAGGGTGTGTGTGCTCGCCTGAGAGACAAACAGAAAGCAAGAAATCACCCCTCAGAGGGGATGGCCACACTGCAATCCCTGCTCCTCCCTTCTCCTCTCAGGATCCTGAACATGCATGCACATGCACCCGGCATGAGTTTTAAGCCGCCGGGTCCAGGACTTGAACTGCAGTCAACTATATGGGAGTCCAGCAACTCTGGGCATGAACTTTAAGTCACAGAGCCTGTGAAACTCAAACCTCTTGACTACTGGGAGCCCAACAACGTTGTAAGCCATCTGCTGGTCCCTCCAGGCATGTTTTTCAAGCCATTGGAACTAGGGCTCAAACTGTGGTGTCCACCATGTTGGATCCAGTGCCTTAACCATGCCACCACCTTCTGACCCAGTCCATTCATTCTTTTTTCTTCCGTTTTTTTTCCTTTTCTTTTTTTAGAGAGGTTTTTGCTATAAGATGTGTGTGCTCACCAGAGAGACAGAGAGGGACAGAGACAGAAAGTGAGAAATCACCCCCCAGGGGGAATGGCCACACTGCAATTCCTTCTCCTCCATTCTCTTCTCAGGATCTTGGGCATGCACGCACATGCGCCTGGCGTGAGTTTAAGCCCCCTGGCCTGGGACTCAAACCGCGGTCAACTACATGGGAGTCCAGTGATAGCCATTATGCCAACTGTTGGTCCCTATTTTCTTAAGAGGCTTTTTGGTTTTGTTTTCCGTCTGGTGGCAGCCATCAGTCTGCTATATCTTTTTTTTTTTTGGAGAGGTTTTTGCTTTAGGGCGCGGGCCCTCACCAGACAGACACAAAGAGACAGAGAGACAGAAAGCGAGAAATCACCCCCTAGGGGGGATGGCCACGCCGCAATCCCTTCTCCTCCATTCTCCTCTCGGGATCCTGGGCACGCACGCACAGGCACCCAGCATGAGTTTCAAGTCACCGGGTCTGGGACATGAACCGCGGTCGACTATGTGGGAGTCCAGCGACATAGCCATTACGCTAACTGCTGGTCCCCAGTCTGCTTTATCTTATTAAGAAGTTATATATTGGTGTTTAAAACATGACGTGTGGTATAACAGGTGTAAAATAAATTCTTTAAAATAGGAAAAAAAAAAGTGTTTTTTGTTCTTTTTTTTTTTTTTGCTACAGGGTGTGTGCACTCACCAGAGAGACAGAAAAGCAGAGACAGCAAGAAATCACCCCCCAGGGGGATGGCCAAGTCACAGTCCCTTCTCTATTCTCTCGGGATATTGGACACACACACGCATGTACCCAGCGTGAGTTTTAAGCTGCTGAGTCTGGGACTCAAACCGCAGTCCACCACATGGGAGCTCAGCACTTTAACCACTATGCTACCTGCTAGCCCCAGCCCATTCATTCTTGATGGACTGTTCTTACTTTTTCCAATGTAGCTGTCTGGCCCTGCTCTGTTGGTTCTTCCTTGTTACCATTCAAGGAAGCCCAGTCTGGGATATCCTTGTTTCCGATGCTTAGGCTCCAACTGGAGACTGTTGTAGGTAGATTAAGCCCACCAAGCTCAGGGATAGTGTGTGTGTGTGTGGGGGGATGGTATCAGAATAGGGGAGTCCTCTTTGGGAAGTTTTCCTGGCCTGTTCCAGGCTGCAGTGAGGGACATGCTTCCCCACCCTTCCTGGTCATCTGAAGGCTCCAAAGTCCTGACCCCTCACAGAAATTCTAGCATCAGTCAGATAACAGTACAATCAATCACCTTTATTCCAGGGTTAGAATGAGGCCGTGCACACTGCAGACAGAGAGGCACAGGATAGGGGCAATCTCACAGCAGTACAATGGGTGGAAGGGCAGGTTAGTCTTTTTAGATGCCTTACAGAGAAACTACCAGACTCTGCTGAAAATAACCCTGTCTCTCTTCTCCTGGATTTTCCATTAGGAAGGCTCCTCATTTTCTGTTTCACTCTTAAGTAAAATATCCTGATCAGAAGGGTGGCTCCTGCTTGTTTCCTCTTCCCATTCGACAAGTATCTCTCTCAAGGGAGAAGCCAGACAGGGCTGGGGAGACCTGGGAAGGTCCTTTAAGGCGAAACCATGGAGTCCTCAAGGTGTGTGTTAAGGCAGGTGTCTGCAGCAGTGGCCGGGGGGCCGCAGGGCGGCTGGGCGTGGGGCCCGCG